AGAGAGAGGGAAAGAGAAAGGGGAGAGACAGACAGACAGACAGACAGACAGACAGACAGATAGAAAGAAAGAGAGAGAGAGAGGGGGTGTTTGTTATTATAACAGAATAATTGATTCCTGTCATTTTCTCTCTGCGTTGGTTCCCAGGCTGACCCCATGCAATACAGTCATTATTTTGTACACATTTTATTACCCATCCCATCTTCTGAATCCCACCTTCTGTTTCCCATCTCTCACCTCTTGTTTCCCATGTACCGTATTCAATTTTCCATTATATACCATATCCCGACTTTAATTCTGTAAGGGCGCTTTGTTTTCCTTCATCTCATGGGATGGAACACTTGAAGCTGGTCAAAATTTAATATTTTAAAATATACGTTACTGTCGTCACTGACTATTAAAAGCAGCCGACTTAAACCGGCAGAGGACGCTCCCCCCAATACAAAGCTTTAGAGTGCCGCGAACGTAGCCTTAACAGTGCCTCCAAACTGCATTCAGGGTACTGGTACGCCGTGAACGTAACCTGCAGTAGGGCTGGGCAATGAGTCGCTATAGCAAAATCCGGATAATATGTTAGTGCACATCTTTGAGCAAATAATAATATGTCATGAACCGCTTCGGCAAATGGGTTAGAACTACTTTGACAAACAGGTTAGCATCACTTCAACAAATCGGTGCACCCACTTCGGTAGACGGGTTAGGAAAGAGAGTTAGGAGTTTGAATTCGGACAATGTTTCATTGAGAATTATCCGGTTATCCTACTTATAGATTATCCGGATTTTGCCCACCTCTAGCCTGCAGACTACGTTCACAGCGCTGTGAACGTAGCCACTGCGTTCATTTATTGTACATGATATAGAATCTATATGCAGTAAGTTAATATGCCTTCTACTCAAATCTCATTGACACACACACACAAAAAGTGAACAGATAGATCTAGTGGCAGACATAATTCGTGCAGTTTAGACTCTCTACTATTCTAGATCTAGATATAGAATCTAGATCTAGATTCTAGATCTATTGGTCTTTAAAAAGACAATTATAAAAGCATTTATGATTATTATAGGCCTAAGTTAAGTCCTAAGTCAAGAGAAGAATGAGAATATAATTGTTCTTTACGGAAAAGATATCAGCTCTGGATGAACCCTTCTCGTGTATCATATGGGGGCCCAGACGCCGGACACCACGTTGACACTACACCTGTACTTAAAATACACGGTACTTTCTTCCGGGTAACATAAAATTGAAAAGGAAGGGAAGGTGTAAACTCTACCGGACAGGTTTCTTTTTTTGACTGTGGCAATGATGTAGGTCGAAGGTCATGTTTACTTCTGAGTATGGAAACCTATATGGTCATTTATTTTAATATTGGTACATTTTGCCGTCTCTTATTTTTATAACTTTTGTAAAGGGAGATCATCTTCTGCTTAACAAATTAAAAATACAAATTGTATTCAGTACAGTTAG